TGATGTTTCTTATATTGCTGGGAAAGACTGGCTGTCCTCCTGGCCAACACAAGCAGCCCCATCAGGACTCATTGGCATTGGTCGAGCACCCTCTATAGCCAAAAGTTCTCAAATCTTAAATTGAACAGATAATGAAACTTCAGGAACCTTTTGTCCCTACATCATTCCTTCCATCCCCATTACACTTTGGGGATGCAATATTCTTGCTCAAATGGGCATGCTTCTGTATAGTCCAGATGACAAGGTATCAGTGCAAATGCTACAAATAGGATATGATCCCTTAAAGGGGCTTGGAAGGAACAGACAGGGCATAAAAGGACCTGTTCAGGTTGTAGAGAGGAAAGACTGGTCTGGTATTGGCTTTTCAAATTTGCCCTAGGGGCTATTGTTCCTGAGGCTGCTGATCCCATTACCTGGAAAGATGATAAACCAGTTTGGGTAGAACAATGGCCCATGCCCTCAGAGAAACTTAAGGCAGCAAGAGAATTAATTCAACAGCAGTTGGAGGCTGGTCATACAGAGCCTTCTACCAGTCCTTGGAATACTCCTATATTTGTTATAAAAAAGAAATCTGGAAAATGGAGACTTTTACAAGATCGAAGAGCCATTAATGCCACCATGGAGGCTATGGGTGCATTGCAGCCCGGGCTGCCATCTCCGGTTGCTCACAGGATGCGTCAACTCCTGTTTGGATTCCTGATTGATTTATTTGAAATGTCCCTGCTAACCTGAAGACTGAGATGGGTGGCATGGACCCTGTAGACTCAAAGGAATAGATGTGGAGCAATGCTACCAACCATTACATGATGAACAGGATTTGCAACACTCGGCTAAACAAGAATTGCACCATCCACCCTGCCAGCCAGAGGAAGGAGGAATACTGACACACCAGATGAGAGAACTTTCACTGCAGAACAAAAACTTCCCTCTCAGATTATCCCAAAATCAAGACGACACACTATCAGATGCTGATAGTGAAAAACTATAACAACGTCTTCAGTGTCCGTCATTCCCAATTACCAGCATGGGAGCAAATAGAATTTCTGGCAGAAGAAGCAGGAGATATGGTAACTTCACAACATGCTAAAAATGTAAACAAAATAAGGGTTTTCACTTCCTTTATCCTCTCCTATTCCTCCTATAACTCCAATTCCTGCTTTCCCTACTACTCTTGGTTTTTGTAATCTGTTCTGTGAGTCCCTTCGCCTTTATCTGGGAAAGAAGGGCAGGCGTCTACAGCCATGGCGCCTAGCTCTGACTTGCAGTCTTTCTCTTTAACCTTTGGAGAAGGGGCAGGTGCCAAAGGCCATGGCACCTGTCCCCAGCCTCCAGTCTTTCTCTTTTACCTTCAGAGAAGGGGTGGATGCCAAAGGCCACGGCATCTAACCCCAGCCTCCAGACTTCTCACCCCCTTTTTTCCACCCACATGTCTCTTCTCAAGCGGGTGGCTCGGACAAAGGACTTATGAAGGAAGCTCTTGTTCACCTCCCATTTGTTTCTAACAACACTGAGAAGGACTGACTGATCATTTCATGAGATTCTGGATATCCAATATGGAGAGACTGTGCATGTAGTGAGTTGTGTTACAGGAAAGGAACCCTGAACTTGTGAACCTTAATCTTTTATAGTGAACAGGAAGCATGCCTTCTCTTTGCTCTGGAAGAGACACTATCTCTATCTTCCAAGGCTGTTCAATATGCAAACATTCTCAAAGTGAATGAACATCAGAGATTAGAGACATTGTGGTAAGTTTTGGCTCTACCATCGGCATATGACAAAGGAGTTTACGTACCTCTGAGGAAGTATCACTAATATATACTTGAGAGCCAGGTATATTCCTATCTACTAAGAACTTCCTTCCCCTTGAGACATCAAAACATTTCAACTTAGTAATGTCATTTACAGAGGAAAAAAATGCAGCACAGAATTACATGTTGCATTTGATTGTAATGTCCCTTTTGTCTCTTTGAATCTGGAACCACCTCAATCTCTTTTTTATTTTCATGGCCATGACACTTAGGAATATTATGGCTATTTTTGTAAAATGTACTTCATTTAAAAAAAAAAGAGTTTCCAAATCATTACATTCTGTTATCTTTGGCAGGGTTGTCATAGAGTGAAGCTAAAGTTTTTGTTTTTTTTGAGTTAGAGTCTCACTCTATTGACCAGGCTGGAGTGCAGTGGCACGCTCACAGCTACCGCAGTCTCAACCTGTTGGGCTCAGGCAATCTTTCCACCTCAACCTTCCAAGTACCTGGAGCTACAGGCATACACCATGCCTGGCTAATTTTTCTTGATTTATTGTAAAGATGAGGTCTTACCAAGTTGCCCAGGCTGGTATCGAATCCCTGGACTCAGGCAATCCTCTTGCCTCCACCTCCCAAAATGCTGGGATTACAGGCGTGAGCCACCACAGCCTGTAATCACAGGCTGTTATTGTGTTCTGATTGAAAGGGAAGGAAAGGGAAAAGAAAGGAAAGGGAAGAGGAAAAGGCAAGCATTCATTTTTAAATTCTGACAGGTAGATAATATATTCACTGAGAAAAGGACTTCTAGGAAAACTTCTATGCCTGAAGTTCTGAGATCTAGTTCTGAATTCTCTAATTACTATGTGACTTTGGACAAATTATTTGATTGATTTGGAATATATTTTATAAAATAACAACTTATTAAATTCTCAGTCATTAGTAAGGTGATAGTTCTGAAAAATTCTTATAACCAATATTAAACATGACATTTTTGCATAAGCAAAAAGTACCTCATTAATGTCATAAATTATATAAAAATTCATTTGGAAAAGTAGTAACAACTGTATCCAATATATATTGCCTCCTTAGAAAATTTAGAATCAGGCTGGGCACTGTGGCTCACTCCTGTCATCCCAGTACTTTGGGAGGCCGAGGCAAGAGGATTGCCTGAGCCCAGGGGTTTGAGACCAGCCTGGGCAATTGGGCAAGACTTTGTCTCTACTATTAAAAAAAAGAAAAAAAATTAGCTGGGTGTGGTAGCACGCACCTGTAGTTCCAGCTACTTGGAAGGTGGAGGCGGAAGGATCGCTGGAGCCCAGCAGGTCGATGCTGGGGTGGCGGTGAGTGTGCCACTATACTCCAGCCGGGGCGACAGAGTGAGAATACAACTAAAAAAAAAAAAATTTAGAATCAGACATGAAATGTTTGTTCCTTTTCTATGCATACACATGCATGAACAGTAAGCTTCATAGTTACTTGCCTTGCCTGATTTACTCAGGAAGAACAGATGAACAGAGCTGAATTCTTACTCTCAGGGACATAAGATGGGTTTTATCTTCTTTGAAGAGAAAAAGAAAAGCTTAAATATACTTAAAGTAAGACGAGCTCGGTGGCTCAGCCTGTAATCCCGCAACTTTGGGAGGCTGAGGTGAATGGATTGCCTGAGCCTGTGGGTTCGAGACCCGCCTGGGCAACTTGGCGAGACCTCATCTCTATAATAAATCAAAAAAAAAATTAGCCGGGCATGGTAGCGCATGCCTGTAGTTCCAGCTACTCGGAAGGCTGAGGTGGAGCAGGTCGAGGCTGCGGTGGCTGGGAGCGGCCACTGCACTCCAGTCTGGGCGACAGAGTGAGACTCCAACTCGGAAAAAAAAGAAAAAAAAAAAAAAAAAGAAAAATATATATATATATATGTACATATTTTAAAAATATATATACTTTTTAATATATATATACTCTAAAATATATATATACTTTTTTATATATATATATTTTAAAATATATATACTTTTTAATATATATACTTTTTATATATATACTTTAAAATATATATATACTTTTTTATATATATACTTTTTTTACTTTTTAAATTTTATTTTGAGAGATATATATACTTTTTTTATATATATACTTTAAAAAAATATATATATACTTTTTTTTTGAGTTGGAGTCTCACTCTGTCGCCCAGACATCAGTGCAGTGGCTGCTCCCAGCCACCGCAGCCCCAACCTGCTGGGCTCCGGTGATCCTTCCACCTCAGCCTTCCAAGTGGCTGGAACTACAGGCGCGCGATACCACGCCCGGATAATTTTTTTTTTTGATTTATTGTAGAGATGAGGTCTCGCCAAGTTGCCCAGGCGGGTCTCGAACCCGCGGGCTCAGGCGATCCACTCACCTTAGTCTCCCAAAGGCGCGGGATTACAAACTGAGCCACCGAGCCCGGCTTTATATATATATATATATATATATATATATATATATATATATATATACTTAAAGTGAAGACGAGACACCATGGTTTTTATTGCTGGGAGTCAGTCTCAAGCCTAGGTTTTATTGGGAGTGGAAATATTTTTACCATATGGAAATATACTGATCCAGGTCTCCTAGAAATAGTGCTCTAGCTGTAGGATGATAAAAATACTGAGACAAAAACTGTCAGCACTCATAACATCTCTTGAGTGATGAATAAGGCAGTATTTCATTTTGTCTAAAAATTCCTACAAAGAATTTTAGAGACCAGTAACAATCTTAAAGACCAGTAAATACAAGCCACATATATCCAAAAATGAGGTAGTGGGTAATGTTTTAACCTTCAGTAGAAAAATGTATTGGTGTGAGTAAAATTCTCAATCACTTAAGACATCATTTCTCAAAACAACCCCCAAACATAAGTAAACCAAAACGACAAAAACACAACCACAGCCACCATGGAAATCTACTTAGGTGGAAATATCACATGTGATCATATTTACTGACCCATAAAGACAGGATTCTGAGTAATAGCCTTTTCTCCCTCTTTGTTATTTGCAACTTAGTGTACTCATTGCCAGCAGATGGTAAAGCATTTTATGTTCTTAAGAGGTAACCAGGGACGGAGATTCTACAACGTCTCTGAGGAGTTTTTTCAGCATTTTGCAATCCTTGCTGTCAGGAAACTATTCTTCATAGTTAACCTAAATCCCACAGGCCAAAGTTTAGACCCATTTCCTTTGGTTCAGTCCTCAGTGGAGATGAAGAACAGCTGGGAACCATCTGCGTAATATTCCTTTATAAACTCAAAGGCTGAGGTCATCCGTGTCTTCTGTTTTACTGGCTAATGATCCTCTTCATTTAATCTGTCTCCATGTCATCTATTTCAAACCCTTAATCATTTAAATTCTTGCCTGAGAATTCTAAGTTTTTCTCATTTCTCCTATTGTGTACAAGACACTAATATTTGTCGAAGAGTTGAGAGTCATTTTTTTTCTCCTGTATTTATGTCCATAAGATCCAGGTATCATAGCATATCCACCTTTAAACAATAGTATGCATTTCTCATCTATCATTATCTGTGTTCTTTATGCTTACTGTCTTCTTTATAGATAAGCCACACATTTTTGAATTTGATTACGTATACTTTTTTGTATTTGCATCACTTTATGAACATGAATCTTATTGCTAAATTGAATTCAACAGAATCCTCTCTTTTCTAACTAGAACCCCAAAACACTATATGGTGGCAAATATATGTATATATATTTTGAGTGTGAGTCTCACTCTGTCGCCTAGACTGGAGTGCAGTGGTACGCTCCCAGCCACCACAGCCTCAACCTGCTGGGCTCAGGTGATTCTTCAGCCCCAGCCTTCCAAGTAGCCGGAACTACAGGGGCATGCTACCATGCCTGGCTGATTTTTGATTTATTGTAGAGACAAGGTCTTGCCAAGTTGCCCGGGTGGGTCTGGAACCCGTGGGCTTAGGCAATCCACTCACCTCGGCCTCCCAAAGTGCTGGGATTACAGGCTGAGCCACCGAGCCCGGCCAGTGGCAAATATCTTATTCTTATATTTGTTTTTTGAGTTGGGATCTCACTCTATCACCCAGGCTGGAGTGCAGTGGTACCATCATGGCTTACTGCAGTTTTGACTTCCTGAGCTCAGGCGATCCTGTGCCTGATGAATTTTTTTTTTTTTAAATTTTTGTAGAGAGGTCTTACCAAGTTGCCCATGCTAGTCTCGAACCCCTGGGCTCAAACAAACCTCTTGCCTCAGCCTCCCAAAGTGTGGGATTACAGGTGTGAGCCACCACACCTGGCCTATTCTTCTATTTGAAATTATCCATGATTTTAACATTCCATTGTGATCATCAAATAAAATATGAAAAACAATTAGATTTAGCATAAACCCTACAAAATGTTTGGATTTCAGGTCAATATTACCTTTGATAACTGTTTTTTTTCCCCTTAGAAAAGTCAGAGGGTGCCAAAAACATGTATACACAAATTAAGAAAGTAAAAAACCATGTTAAAATTGCAATACTTGCCGGGTGTGGTGGATCAAGCTTGTAATCCTCGCACTTTGGGAGGCTGAAGTGAGAGAATTGACTGAGTTCAGGGGCTCAAGACCCCTGGGCAACTTGGTGAGACCTTGTCTCTACAATAAATAAAAAAATTAGCCGGATGTGGTGGCATGTTCCTGTTGTTCCAGCTACTTGGAAGGCTGAGGTAGAAGGATTGCCTGAGCCCAGTAGGTTGAGGCTGTGGTGGCCATGAGCGTGCCATTGCATTCCAGCCTGGGCAACAGAGTGAGACTCTGACTAAAAAATAAAATAAAATAAAATTGTAATACTCAATATATACTAAAAACAAAATAAATACAAGTCACGTTTGACTTCTGCAATTACAAGAGGTGCTCAAAGTGGTTATCGTCAGCGTCTAGACATTTCTGATTGTGACAAACTAAAAGTAATATATAGATAGCATCTCTTAAAATGTATTTGCATTTTTTGGTACCCTTGGTACTTCTACCGAACAACAATATTAGCTAGGCAATCCTTAGAGACAACGCACATAATAGCTTGTGTGGGGTATTGATGTGCATTGCTGCTGCACTGCTTTGTTCCTAAAGCAGTATTTTCTTTGCTATTGTAGACAGAGTAGAATTGGCTCACTGGGGCTTGTGTCATTAGGCCTTAGTGTATATTGGCTTGTCCTGCAGCATGGTTTTGTGGAAGTACCTCACTTTTTTTTTTAATGTGTTTATTTAGAACTGGAATCTCACTGTCATCTAGGTTGTAGCATCCAGTATAGTAGCACAGTTATGGCTCACTGCAGCCTTGACCTCCTGGGCTAAGACAATCCTCCTACCACAGTCTCCCGAGTAGCTGGGACTACGGGCACACGTGACTACACCTGGCTAATTTTAAAATTTTTCTTGTAGAGACAAGGTCATACTATGTTGCTGAGGCTGGTCTCAAACTCCTGGCCTCATGCAATCCCCTCACCTTAGCCTCCCAAACACTTCTTTTGTATGCCACCATATCACAGCTATGAGCTGTCTCCACCAAAATTCTTCCTATAACCACAAAAAGTGGTCTGTGCAGAAATTTCACTTACAGTCTGACTAGAAACTAACCGAAAGAAGGGGCTGCCACAACCTGTTAAATCGCATTTTTCTGGGCTCATGATTTCCATTCCTACAGTGATCCAACTCAAGGCAAGACAAACTACGCCTATTCTAACTAATTCTATCATTCTAGTTTGCAAAAAAGTTAGATTGGTCTCACAGGATGTTTCTTCACGGAGTCATGCTGCTTTATTGTACTTTTGTTCCTAAAGTGTTTGTTGGTGAATATCTTTTCTTTCTTTCTTTCTTTCTTTCTTTCTTTCTTTCTTTCTTTCTTTCTTTCTTTCTTTCTTTCTTTCTTTCTTTCTTTCTTTCTTTTTCTTTCTTTCTTTTTTTTTTGAGTCAGAGTCTCACTCCGTCACCCAGACTGGAGTGCAGTGGCATGCTCATGGTCACCCCAGCATCGACCTGCTGGACCCAGGTGATCCTTCCACCTCAGTCTTCCAAGTAACTGAAACAATAGGTGTGCACTATCATGCCCAGCTAATTTTTTGATATCTTGTAGAGACGAGGTCTCACCAAGTTGCCCAGGCTGCTCTCGAACCCCTGGGCTCAGGCAATTCTCTTGCCTCGGCCTCCCAAAGTCCTGGGATTACAGGCTTGAGCCACTGTGCCTGGCCAGCAGGTGAATTTCTAATGATTAAATTTCTATCTGGAGGGAAGAGAAGTTGAATTTTTTTTTTTTTTTTTTTTGCATTGGAGTCTCCCTCAGTCACCCAGGCTAGAGTGCAGTGGCATGCTCACAGCCACCCCAGCGTCGATCTGCTGGGCTCTGAAGATCCTTCCGCCTCAGCCTTCTAAGTACCTGGAACTACAGGTATGCACTACCATGCCTGGCTAATTTTTGATTTGTTGTAGAGATGAGGTCTTGAACCCTCAGGCTCAGGCAATCCACTTGCCTAAGCCTCCCAAAGTGCTGGGATTACAGGCTGAGTCACTGAGCCCAGCTAAAAGACATTCTTATTTAAAAAAGGCACTGCATGGGCTGTTGACTGACAGAATTGACAGTTAATGAAGAAATACTAAATAAGGATTGGCATTTTAAAACCTGAGGTAATAAACTGATTTTTGTCTTTAAAAAAAATAACCACATAGCATACAACTTTCCAATGTAGTTCTCCACCTCTTCCAAAAGTAGACACATGGAAAATGTCCTATTTTAAGATGGTCATGAATTAGGTAATACTTTCTCATTGCTCTGAATGCAAAAATAGTCTCTATATTTTAGTATTCATTCAGAAATACATTTCAAAAAGTGACTTAAAATAGTTTCCAAATTGAATGCTGTTAAATTTATTAAAACTGAAATCATAATTTGAAGCTAGAAGTTTTTATTTATTTTACTTTATTTTTTGAGTTGGAGTCTCACTCTGTCGTCCATGCTGGAGGGCAGTGGCATGCTCACGGCCACCGCAGCCTCAACCTGCTGGGCGCAGGTGATCCTTTCACCTCAGTCTTCCAAGTAGCTGGAATTACTGGCTTGCGCCACCAAGCCCAGTTAATTTTTTGATTTATTATAAAGATGAGATCTCTCCAAGTTGACCAGGCTGATCTCAAACCCATGGGCTCAGGCAGTCCTCTCACCTCAGTCTCTCAAAGTGCTGGGATTATAGCCATGAGTCTGGCTGAAGCTTTTCATTTAGATGTGTCTCCCTTGAACTTACTGTTGCCTTATAAAACTGGAAATCATTCCTATGCATGGTTTTCAGAATTATTTGCTAGCCCACCCCAAAAATGTTTCTCATTCATTTATTCAGCAAAAGTTTTTTATGTATCTTTATTCTATGTTCTTGAGATACTTCAGTAAACAAACTAAACTAATATCTTGCCTTCAAAGAGTTCAAATTCTAGTGAGAAGAAATAGATAAAAGCATAATAATTAAATTAAATTAAATAGTGTGTTAGCAGGTATGTGTTACGGCAAAAAGAAAAAGTAGAATAGGAGAAAGTTAATCAGGAACATAAAGATGCAGAGAGAGGCTTAGGTACTTTGTAGTGTTCGTAAGATTTGGGCAGTGCCTTAACAGAGGGAGAAGATGGGTCAAATGTGGGTAGAGTGTTACTGATAAAGTTTACAGCCCATGCAAAGGCCCTGATGCATGTGCTTGCCTAGCATGTTCAATGGTGTCAATGTGTCCACAGTGTGGTAAGGGATGGGGACAGTAGAAAAGAGGTCAGAGGTCCATTCATGAAGTCCTGGGGGCCACTGTAAAGACTGGTTGTAACTCTGAGAGAAACAGAGAAGGGAGCCTTGGAAGTTTTAAACAGAGGGATAACATGATCTGAACTACATGATGAAAGTGCCATTCTGGTTGCTTTGTTGAGAATAGGCTGGCCGGGTGTGATGGCTCATGCCGGTCAACCCAGCACATTGGGAGGTGGAGGCGGAGGCAGAGGCAGGTCAGAGGTGGGAGGATTGCCTGAGTCCAGGGGTTCAGGACCAGCCTGGGCAAATTGGCAAGACCTTATCTCTACAATTAAAAAAAAAAAAGATGGGTATAGTAGCTTATGCCTGTAATCATAGCACTTTGAGAGGCAGAGGGAGAGGAATGCCTGAGCCCATGGGTTCGAGACCAGCCCGGACAACTTGGTGAGCCCTCGTCTCCACAATAAATTAAAAAAAAAAAATCAGCTGGGCGTGTACCTGTGGTTC